AGAGAGAGAGAGAACTGACACAATTGTAGCTAATCTATCCAGCTGTTTTGTACATTAGCTGCAGTAAGGGAGCCTCAGAACCAACAGCTGGTCCTAGGATGCTCTTAGCCCAGCAGGACTCTTCCAGAGCAGCTCCTCGGCATCTGCTTAGTGCTACATGAGTACCACAGGGTGGCTCTGGGGGCTGGGGACTGTGGTTGGGGACAGCACACCAGCCCAGGGGAAAGCGCCTCTTTACTCATCATAGAAACAGCAGCTACACTCTAGGAATCGTTTTCAAAGCCACCAGACGTCACTCTGCACACTCAGCGAGTCGAGCACTGTCATTGTGAACAGTTTAGGTTGGGCAGCCTAAAAACGGTCCCTTTACGCTCTGCATTACTCAGCAAAGCCCTGGCATTTGTTGCTAAGCTATCACAGTCCACTCATACAACAATGAACCCCTTACCCGTCGGGAGCAGATCAGGGAAGCCATAACACACATGTGCGGTGTCAGAAACAGCTTCAGCCTCAGAATCAAGATGGCAAGGGCTGCAAATGCCAACAACTGCAATGTGTGAAAAACCAGCTATAGAAATACAAAACAAATGACACTTTCACTTTACATGTTTTACAACAAATAAGGATGTACATGAAAACTATTATTAGGCATTAGGCCAAAGATCTAACATATTACTATACCTACTGTCATTTATTCATTCTACAGAGACCCACTGAATGCCTGTTAAAGCCCAGGCTCTGTTGTGGGGCTTCAGATAAAACTCTCAGCAACTTTTGCCCTTGTGAGCTGAGATGTTAGTGTGTTTAGCAGGGGCTGGCAAAAAGTGGAAACCACACATAAGTGAACCCTTTACCGCCCAGTACAGAGTGGTGAGTGCACGGCAAGAGGCTGGGCAGGGAAAGAGCCCAGGACTGCAGGATGTGCTGTGAGCCATAGGCAGGGCTGTAGGGTAGGAGAGCGGTCTCCATAGACTGCATTAAAAAGGTTACATCTGAGCAAGGGTTTGCACAAAGTGAGAGCTGAGCCAGGGATAGAAGCAGGGAAGACAGCTTGTCACAGACATGGTCCCTCAGTCAATAGCAGCAGTGACAGCAGTCAAGAACTTGATGATTGGAAAAAGAGAGGAGTGGGATACACATAGAAATATTTATGCTAATTAGTGGAGCACCCTACTTTGATCCAGGAGAGAATTTTGCTAGCAAAGATTTCAAAGAAAACTTTTCTAACAGACCTTCATAAAATATCAACTCACTAGAAAAAGAAATAACAAGTAAGTAAAAATAACTAAAGCAACAAAAGGTAGATGGCTACTCAATATTTATGATCTTCTAATTCACTGTTATTCAACTGAAATGTTAAAGATAATGAGGTATTTCCATTTATAAAATTGATTGACATCAATGCTATGTATTAGAGAGAACACAATAAAACATACACTGAAATAACAAATAGGTACTTTTCCATTTTTCAATTTATTTATCAGAACCTAGGAAACAGCCAACTCCATTGACTTAAACTGTCATTCTACAAAAGTCTCTAAGTGAATAATTAAAACACAGATGTGCTAAAAAGTATTATCCCTAAAGTGTATTTCTAGCAGCAAAAAAGGGGGGAAAATGATGAATAAAAGGAATAGGAAACAAATTGAGGGCCAGGGAGATAGCTCAGTAGAATAAGTGCTTGCCTGGCAAGGGCAAGGTCCTGAGTTCAATCCCTAGTACCAAAAAAAGAGAAAGAAACAAACAAATTGATACTCTTCTACTGGTACATGGCCTAAAACATGATGTATTAAAAGGCTATTCAATGGCATGGAAAAGTTTCCAGAATATAAATCTGTATACATATAGACTACTAACTTTATTTTTTTTAAAAAAATGAAAATATCTGTGTACACATGTGTGAAAACACACACACACACACATCCATGCACACACACAGAGTAGGAAAGGATGTTTTAGGAAAACATATCAAAAGTAAACATACTGATATTATTATTTCTCAATGATAATTGCTCTGTGTTTTCTAAGCTTGCTTCCAAATCCCTACTACTATCCAAGTACGAGAGCAGGCTGGCACAGAGGCTCAGCAGAAATGCATTACCAGCACTCAGCGGCTCAAGCCAGGCGGCGCCCTCATGAATTATCTTGACCTAGAATTTAACACAGTAGCCTACCACAGAGTAAAACAAGGAGATGTTTACCTCACCGTGTTCAAGGAGCTGTTTTCTGGAATAAAACAGAAATAATATCTATTACTGAATGCTCATCACAATATAATTATGTTAGATAGCTTCATTGATTCTTAGAGTTTTGAATTTTGATTTTCTATATGAGTTGGTAGCACAAAGATTAGATAACACCAGTAAAGCTTCCTAAATTTAAAAGGAATAATTTACAGTTATCTAAAATGTGTCAAGTTGAGTTGGTGGCACATGGCTGTAATCTCAGCACTGGGAAAGCTGAAGCAGGAGGACTGCTGCAAGTTTGAGCCAAGCACATAGTTAGAGTCCAAAACCAAACTGGAATACACAGTGAGACACTGTCTCAAAAAATATAAATAAATATCAAAAATTACTGTCAAAAATCTAAATGAAATGGGAACATAAACAAAGACTAAAAAACTACTAAAATTAGCATTAATTTAAAAAGCATAATTTACAGTCACCATGTATAACATTTGTCCAAAAGTTCTTTAGTTAAGATAAAAGGTTTTACCACTTCCCAGAGGCTTTGTTTTACCTCTGGAAAGATAAGTGAAGGGAAAAGCTTTCTATTACATATTTGAGATTTGTACAATAATACAATACTTTAGATAACTACTGCTGTAATTTTGAGTTTTCATGATTATAAACCACATGAACATCCTTGTATGTAAATCTTTGTGAGAATTTCTGAATACTTCCTTAGGAAAAAGGTCTACAAGAAAAATTGCTGGATGAACAGATTTATCTTTTAATTTCGGAAAAGTGATCATGATTTGCTAAATACCTATAACACTATGTAGTGAGCACAGTGGGAATGACATAGCTTTCATTCTTATCCTCATAGTGCTTATGTTAGATTAACAAAAGAAGTAAGTGTATACACGTTGGTGTTTCACTGGGTATTTAATACAGGTTTTTGCAGGGTGTAAAGGCCTTCTAATATGAATTTGGGGGTAGGAGAGAGAAGTAAGGTAGTGTTCAAAAGAAATTCAGGGGAAAGACTTGCAGATTTAAATAGGATTGGTTGGGGGAAGCCCCCTTGAGACAGCAGGGGAGTCACCCCCCCACCCTGACTCTGCAGTACTCCCTGCCTATGAGGTAGCCCAGCAAGGAAGGCTTCCCCTCTGCTGCAGAAGCCTTCTGGTCACAACAAAACTCTGTGGTGAGCTGATCCATGCAAGGAAAAACCCCAGGAGGAGCGTATCTGCTGTGGCTGCAAGAATGTCCCTACCCTCTCTCCCTCCACACACATACACCATAAGCACTGACGAAACAAATGTGAAAGCTGATTCTAGGTGTGTATGCTCAAGATGAAAATAGCAAGAAACTGCTTAGGTAGATGCACGGGACGGGAGTTTCATCCCTGGGCAAGTTGGGGCCCTGGCCAATAATCCCAGTGCTTGGAAGGCTGAAAACAGGAGGATCACTACACGTCCGAAGTAGTGAGACCCTGTAGACTCTGTACTAAATACAATAAATAAATGAAGAAGAAGAAGAAGAAGAAGAAGAAGAAGAAGAAGAAGAAGAAGAAGAAGAAGAAGAA